ATTTTCGGAACAGAGCGTCTAGATTGGCACGGACGCTTTTCCGCAAAATCTAGATGTGCTTTTATGCAAAAATCATCAATTGCCATTTTTGCGAGAGGGGCTTTTTTGTGGAAAACAAATCTGGGCTGTCTACACTGGCCTTTTTGCGCAAAACTTTTGCACAAAAGGGACTTTTGCCCGAACGGGAGCAGCATAGTATTTCCGCAAAAAGTACTGATTTCTTACAGTAGGAAGTCAGAGGTTTTGCAGAAATTCAAGCGGCCAGTGTAGACAGCTGGCAAGTTTGTCCGGAAAAGTGGCTGATTTTCCGGAAAAACTGGCCAGTCTAGACACAGCCATGGAGTGGGGAATACTTTGTGGATTTAATTGTGTGAATGAGAGACATGGAGGATGTTATCCTCAAAGTCTTGATGAGCAACTTTTAAACAGTCTCTTTTATCCCTAAGGCTAACGGTGGTTGGTACAGAGGGGCCTCTATTCCTTAACAAAGAATAGGAAAGCAGGGGCCTTGGTCTTTTGGCCGGGCTGCACCTGAAGGAAGGATCCGAAGACCCCAGGGTGGGGAGACAGCCTGGTTTGCAGGGGCAGCTGGAAAAGAGTTTGAAAAGAGGTTTTAGGGTGAGTTTGAAGAGTTTGTGCTGAGGTTTCAGTGTAGAATTAGCCAAACGTTTTTGTTTCTTTTGCTTTGTAACCTATTTTGCTCAGCCTGTTTTCACTTATCACCACTTCAATCCTACTGCTTGCACTTAACACAATCACTTTTATTTTCTATCAAGCCCAGTGTAAATAATAGTTACCTGGCGGGAGGGGAGGCACCCAGTGTGCACATCCCCCTTCCATTGTTAAAGGGGGCTCACCCAGGTCATTTATTGGGGGTTTTGATCCCATCTGGGGAGGGGTATCCCAAGGAGCTGGGCCCTACACTGCCCTCTCCTTGGACCTGAGGTGGTTCAGTGTCTGTGCTGCTTCTCGGTGGGGGCAGGGACCTCAGCTCGGGGCCTTGGCTGGGGGAGACCAGGGAGCTGGCCCAGCAGCACTGGGCAATTAGGGTTCCCAGAGAGCAGGAACGCAAATGGGAGTGCCTGTGGCAGCACCCCAGGAGGCACCCCCAAGGGGACTTCTGTGACCACCCCCCTCACATCTAGGCCGTGGTTCGGGCCCCAAGAGGATAATTTGGGATTTGACAGCGTTCACATATTTTGTTTCTTTGCAGCCAGCTCACCAAACACTGGAGATCAGTTGGTACGTCTGCTCTGGCTGCTCAGTTACCCCTCTACCAGTCCTTGGATCATCCGCACATTTTATCTGCAGTGCTTTTCTATTGCCTTCCAGATCATCCATGAAAATATTGAGTAGAGTTGAGCCTTCAACAGATCCCTGCAGGACTCCTCTAGGAACATCCCAATTCATTGGCAATGGTCCAATGAGAACTGCATCCTGAGATTTGTAAGTACGCCAGTCCTTTTACCGTGTGCTCTACTGAGATCATATAATGTTCATATTCTTTCCCCATACTACATAAGAACATGAGAACGGCCGTACTGGGTCAGACCAAAGGTCCATCTGGCCCAGTATCCTGTCTGCCGACAGTGGCCAGCACCAGGTGCCCCAGAGAGGGTGGACCGAAGACAATGATCAAGCGATTTGTCTCCTGCCATCCCCCTCCAGCCTCTGACAAGCAAAGGACAAGGACACCATTTCTATCCCCTGGCTAATAGCCTTTTATGGACCTAACCTCTATGAAATTATCTAGCTTCTCTTTAAACTCTATTATAGTCCTAGCCTTCAGAGCCTCCTCTGGCAAGGAGTTCCACAGGTTGACTACACGCTGTGTGAAGAAGAACTTTCTTTTATTAGTTTTAAACCTGCTACCCATTCATTTCATTTGGTGTCCTCTAGTTCTTCTGTTTAGGGAACTAATATATAGCTTTTCTTTATTGGCCCTCTCCACATCACTCATGATTTTATAGACCTCTATCATATCCCCCCTCAGTTGCCTCTTTTCTAAACTGAAAAGTCCCAGTCTCTTTAACCTCTCCTCATATGGGACCAGTTCCAAATCCCTCATCATTTTAGTTGCCCTTTTCTGAACCCTTTCCAAGGCCAAAATATTTTTTTTGTGGTGAAGAGACCACATCTGTACACAGTATTCAAGATGTGGGCATACCATAGTTTTATACAGGGGCATAAAACTACTCTGTCAAATGCCTCAGAGAAATCCAACTTGGTTGCCTCATTGTGGTTTCCTTGAACCGCCAAATGTGTACTCTTACTGAAGGATGAAAGCAGGGATTGTTGACAATTCTGCTTTTTCATGAACCATGTTGTTGATTGGCATAATTATAGTCCTAGAATTTCTTTTTTACTTAATCTCGTTCCTGTCTTTCCATTGTGTCCTAACCGTGTCAAATTTTAAAGCTTCCCCTTTATTTTTAAAAGTTTACATTTAACACAAAACTAGCCCATGTCTGCCATTTTCCTTTGTTTTGCCTCTGCTGCTACCTGATTGTGTACTTGTGATTCCTAACGAGATGCACGGTTGATCAGTAAGTTCACGACTTTTATGTTTGTAACTGTAAGGTTCTATGGTAGCTTTAACAAGCTCTGCCAAGCATGGAATTTTCTCTAATGTTTTTAACTTAATCAATTTGCAGAACTTCCCATTTCTGTTGTTTGCTATTTATATTCTCTTTTTGCATTTATCATAAATGGATTTCAAGAAGACAGACTTTAGAAAACTCAGAGAGTTGGTAGGCTAGACCCCGTGGGAAGCAAAACTAACGGAAAAAACTGTTTTCTTGAAAACTGTTTTCAAGAAAGTCTGTCTTCTTGAATTCCTCAAAAATGAGGAGTAACGTTAATTCAAACCAATGGGGTTTGGTTCGAACTAACACGTCCCAGTGCGCACTTCCTGGTTCGAATCAGCTGTGATTTGAACTAGCACGCCAGCGATATCATGCTAATGAAGTGCAGGATATTTAAATCCCCACTTCATTGACTATTTCGAATGCCTGCATTTGCATTCCTAGTTCGAACTAGGGTGCAAGTGTAGACATACCCTCTGTAAGTGATCTCAGTCACTAGACGGAAAAGTAGACCTCACCCAGAAGGTGTGTGGGATATACTTTTTCTCGCCATTAATCCACTGGATTTATTTGATGAGCACTCCAGGCCCCTTCGAATGCAAATATTCTATGATTCTAAAATATGTTCCCCTTCCTCAGCTATTACATTCAGTTTGCCATTCAGCTGGGCTTTTAGCTGCAGTTGTGCTTTTCATCACCTGTGAAATTGTTGCTTATTTCCTGTGAAATAAACTCATAAATAACTGACATTTGTCATTTCCAGTTTTCTTTCTAACCTATTCCTCCCCATCAGTTTTGCTGATAATTTTCCTCAGTGCAGAGAATACATTATTTTGAAGAACTAAGTGGCTACGTCTACACTGGCATGATTTTCCGGAAATGCTTTTTGCATTTTCGGAAAAATCGCGTCTAGATTGACAGGACACTTTTCCGCAAAAGCACTTTTTTGCAGAAAAGCACTCGTGGCCAATCTAGATGCAGTTTTCCGGCAAAAAGCCCCAATCGCCATTTTCACGATCGGGGCTTTTTTGCGGAAAACAGTACTGTGCCGTTTACACTGGCCCTCTAGCGCAAATCATTTGCGCAAGAGGGCTTTTGCCCGAACGGGAGCAGCACAGTATTTCTGCAAGAACACTGATGATCTTACATGAGATCATCAGTGTTCTTGCGGAAATTCAAGCGGCCAGTGTAGACAGCTGGCAAGTTTTTCTGCAAAATCATTTGATTTTGCGGAAAAACTAATGTTAAACTTCACCCAGGAAGGCTGAAATACAATTTATTTTACTTAGTGGGTGTAAACACATTTCCCTGTATCAAGTTATATATGCTTAATTTTTCTATCTTAAAAAAAAACACATAAAAACATATGGGGCTCGTCTACACTGGCCCCTTTTCCGGAAGGGGCATGTAAATTTCACTCGTCGTCGTAGGGAAATCCGCGGGGGATTTAAATATCCCCCGCGGCATTTAAATAAAAATGTCCGCCGCTTTTTTCCGGCTTTTAAAAAAGCCGGAAAAGAGCGTCTAGACTGGCCCCGATCCTCCGGAAAAGGGCACTTTTTCCGGAGGATCGGGGCCAGTCTAGACGCTCTTTTCCGGCTTTTTTAAAAGCCGGAAAAAAGCGGCGGACATTTTTATTTAAATGCCGCGGGGGATATTTAAATCCCCCGCGGATTTCCCTACGACGACTGCTGAAATTTACATGCCCCTTCCGGAAAAGGGGCCAGTGTAGACGTAGCCAGCCAGTGTGTATAGGTAATACCAGTTGGGAACTCTTCTCTGTTGGTTTATTTGAATGTAATCAATCCCATGTGTTTATTTTCCTCACCTCTCTCATATGCCTCCCTGTTTGCCTCTTTCTGAAAGAGTCCCAGATTTTTCAGTCTGCATCTGTCTGTCTCCCTGCTTGTCATAGCGTATCTACAATATTCTTCATAGAGGCTGGATGGTCAAAACTGAACTTATGTCCAGAGCAAGTTCTTCTGTATCCCATTCCTTGGAAAATCAGTCTTGGTCTTTGATTTGGCCACTCCTGAAGATGACAGATAACTGGTATCACAATCATATGTCCTGGTTGTGTCTAGTAAGTCCACAATATGACATGCAAGAGTTATTGCTGCATAGATCACCTGAAATAGGCTGCTGGCATTAGTAGAGTCAGTTGTTCACAATTAGTCTCTATGAATAATGAAAAAAGTCATGTTTTCAATATGTGGTAGGTGACCAATCTCTGCCTCCCCTGAGAACAGTCGGCAGTGTTTTATTGAATATCTCATCTTAACGTGGTCTCTCCAACCAGGTATTTGCACTGTGACCATCACCGTAGCCCTATACATATCAAGGAAGTCGGGGAAAGGACGGCACATGCAGGAGACACCGTTCTGCCTCAGAGTTGGACACCTTCTCACCTACTCCATGTCAGCTTCCTACACTGCCAACTTCACCAACCCTTCCGCCTTCATTCTACTTGGAATTCCTGGCCTGGAGGGAGCCCATGTCTGGATCTCCATCCCCTTCTGTACCATGTACGCTATAGCTGTCTTGGGAAACTCTGCCATTCTATTCATTGTGAAGAGGGAGCCGAGCCTCCATGGGCCCATGTACTATTTCCTCAGCATGCTGGCCTTCATTGACCTGGCCCTGTCCACGTGCACCCTGCCCAAAACACTGAGCATCTTCTGGTTCAATTCCAGGGAGATCGATTTCAATGCCTGCCTCACCCAAATGTATTTCCTTCGCTGCTCCTCCATGATGGAGTCTGGGATTTTGGTAGCCATGGCTTTTGATCGCTATGTGGCCATCTGTGATCCCCTGAGACACTGCACTGTCCTGACAAACTCTGTGGTGGCCAAGATTGGTCTGGCCGTGGTACTGCGCGGTGGCGTGCTTGTGCTGCCTTTTCCGTTACTGGCAAGGAATTTGCCATATTGCAGAACCAACATCATCCCCCACTCGTCCTGCGAGCACATGGCCGTGGTGAAGCTGGCCTGTGCTGACACCCGCATCAATAGTTACTACGGTCTCTTTGTGGCATCCTTTTTGCCTGGTCTGGATGTGATTTTTATCGCTGTGTCCTATACCCAGATCCTCAGAGCCATCTTCAGCCTCCCCACCAAGGACGCCCGGCTGAAAACTTTTAACACCTGCATCTCCCACCTCTGTGCCATCTTAGTCTTTTACATCACAATTATCTTTTCCTCCCTCACGTACCGTTTTGGCCACAATATTGCTCTATGGGTCCACGTCCTCATATCCAATTTGTACTCGCTGGTGCCCCCCATGCTAAACCCCATCATCTATGGAGTGAGGACCAAACAGTTGCAGAACAGTCTGTTCCAGCTTGTTACTCATAAAGGGACCTAAACTTTTCTCCTGGTGCTCTGGCTCTCATAGTGACCTCCATGCACACACTGTAGGACCTTCTTCCCTGACCCATTGCCTGAAGAGCCAAGGAGACCTTAGATAATTTCCTGGCCTTCCTAGGCTGGGTCAGGGTGACAAACGGTGGACTCAGTCTAAATGCAAATCATGAATGCATAATATTGCCACCTTTTTAAAAGCTTATAACTGGAACTCCAAGATTCCACACCTGCCCTGCCTCTCCCCAAAGACTGTATCCTTGTTGTTCTCTCCTTTCCTTTCATCTCCACCAATCCCTGGATCCTCTCCACCTCCCCCAGCAGGTACGGTGACCCCATTTCAGAGTGTGGCTGGGGGGGGGGGGTCTACTGTAACTGTGATTAGAAGGACACTGTGTCTAATTCCTCTGTGAAAATAAAGTCATACTAAACCCACTCGCCTCTATTACTAACATATTCTAACGTCTCATGGTCTGATGGATGGGAGGGGTACTACCCCTTTCTAAACACCCCAGTATTCAGTAGCTACATTGCCTGTGATGAGTTGAACCCAGAATGGTGGGAACCCGGGAAGGGGAGAGGGGGGAGCCAATGGGAAGAAAGTGTGCGATTTGAATGGAAAACAGTGAAGTGCCTGCTGCAGTTCTGTGTGTGGTTTTAGAAAGAAAAGCTGGGAAAAGATGGAATGAATCCTGTGAGCCAGACACGTTGACAAAACGATACCTGCATCTACACTACCGCCGAGTTCTGTCGACATAACGTCACCAGAACTCGTCAGTTTTGTCGACGGTGGTAAACCTCATTCTACGAGGAATAACGCCTTTTGTTGACAGAGTGCTGTCGACAGAAGGCGTTATTACATCTACACTGTCCTTTGTGTCTACAGTCTCACGTCGACAAAGCGGCTTGCTTTGTCAACAGAACTGGCTGTAGTCTAGATGCTGTTTGTTGCCAGAAGCTTTGTCAACAGTATGGCTGTGTCTAGACTACATGACTCTGTCGGCAGAGGCATGTAGATTAGACAGATCAGCAAAGGCAAATGAAGCCGCGATTTAAATGATCGTGGCTTCATTTACATTTACATGGCTGCCACGCTGAGCCGACAAACAGCTGATCAGCTGTTTGTCGGCTCAGCGTGGCAGCCATGTAAATGTAAATGAAGCCACGATCATTTAAATCGCGGCTTCATTTGCCTTTGCTGATCTGTCTAATCTACATGCCTCTGCCGACAGAGTCATGTAGTCTAGACACAGCCATACTGTTGACAAAGCTTCTGGCAACAAACAGCATCTAGACTACAGCCAGTTCTGTTGACAAAGCAAGCCGCTTTGTCGACGTGAGACTGTAGACACAAAGGACAGTGTAGATGTAATAACGCCTTCTGTCGACAGCACTCTGTCAACAAAAGGCGTTATTCCTCGTAGAATGAGGTTTACCACCGTCGACAAAACTGACGAGTTCTGGTGACGTTATGTCGACAGAACTCGGCGGTAGTGTAGATGCAGGTATCGTTTTGTCAACAAAAGTCCACTTTCGTCGACAAAACCCTGTAGTCTAGACATACCCGAAATGTCCAGCACTATTCATGTCTACAAAGTACGGACCCTGGAAACAAGAAAGGTGAGTGGATAAGAAATGCGTCGTTAGATGCAAGCAGATTATTTATTTATTTATTTCCGGTTTGTGAACTCTGGGCTGTGATGATGTGCCTCTGCAGCTGAATCCCAGGGAAGCAATTCTCTGTGTTTTAAAAAGATCATAAGAACGGCCATACTGGGTCAGACCAAAGGTCCAACTGTCTGCCAACAGTAACCAATGCCAGGTGCCCTGGAGGGCATGAACCCAACAGGTAATGATCAAGCGATCTCTCTCCTGCCATCCATCTCCACCCTCTGACAAACACCATTCCTTACCCATCCTGGCTAATAGTCATGAATGGACTTAACCTCCATGAATGTATCTAGTTCTCTTTTAAACCCTGTTATAGTCCTAGCCTTCACAACCTCCTCAGGCAAGGAGTTCCACAGGTTGACTTTTCTTTTCTTTTGTTGCGCTGTAACACCTGGCAATCAAATATGCCTCACCAAATATATTTTCTTTGTTTAGTTAATAAAATCACTTTTTTTACAGCTATGATCTGAAGGCTGCGTCCTGCATGACAGGAAGGTCTGTATGCACGTGCCTGAGACCGAGGGTATGTCTACACTGCCACCCTAGTTCGAACTAGGGTGGCTAATGTAGGCATTCGAACTTGCAAATGAAGCCCGGGATTTAAATATCCCGGGCTTCATTTGCATGTTCCTGGGCGCCGCCATTTTTAAATGCCCGGTAGTTCGAACTACCATACCCCCGCCACACACACACACTGTCTGGTGCACGCTGCCCGGGGCTCTGCAGTCCACCACGAGGGCTCCAGCGGAGATCTAACCCGCCTAGGTGCCCATCCACCAGCATGGCCACTGTAGCGGTGGCTGGGAGCCCTGGGGCTCTTTGAATTATCGGGCCCCAGGCAGAAGCCCCTTTGCCCTCCCCCCCAGTTAGCTGTCCCGTGCTGTGGGCAACCCCCAGTGAAGGCGCTGTCATGTCAGTGAGGGGTCATGAAGAGAGCCCCGAACCTGGGACAGCAGCACAATCAAGGGCTTTCCCCGCGGAGTGTGAAGAGAGAGCAGAACCAGCAGCTGCCTCCCTCCCAGCGGACTTTCCCTGCCACTCTCATTGGCTGGAGTTGCAGCCAATGGGATCAGCAGGAGATTATATTGGGACCCATGAGGGCATGGAGCCAGGTAAGCAGCCCCTTCCAAGCCCAGACCCTGCACCCCAACCCGCCTTGTTCCCTCCCAAGATCTTGCACCCCCAGCTTATGCCAGGGCTGGCAAAAGATAACCTGCCAGCCGGATGCGGCCCGCAAGAGCATCAGCCGACCCCCTGCCTGCCCACCCGGCAATGAGGAAAGCCGGCTTGAGGAGTATGCATGTGTGGCTGAACGCTGAGAGCCCTGAGGGAGGGGAGCGTCTCATGCTGCCCCCTTCCCCAGGAGCTCCCATTGGCCAGTTTTGGCCAATTGCAGGACAGGCAGCATGGGAAGTGCCCCTCCTCCCTCGGGCTTACCGCATTCAGTTCAGAGTAGTAAACATGGCTCCTCCTGCAGCTCCCCTGATCAGGTAGAGGGGCTGGGAGCCAGGTAAGGTCCCCCAGCCACAGTCTGTGGCA